TCTATTTTGCCAAACAAAATGGCCACATGCCCACAAGCAGTGGCTCTGGGAATGGTCTGTTCTAGCTCCCAAACCATGCCTGGGAATTGTTCTGGACATCAATAGCTGGTCTGAACCAAAGATATGCCAAGGATCATTTCAACAGCTTAATGCCACAGTACTTGTGGTCCAKAGCTCAGGTTTATTCACTGATATTATTCAGCCTGCTACTGGCTAGAGCTACTGAATACATCTGTGGAGGCTGAGCCTGGTTTCGGATGTACATTCGTATCTACAAGATGACTACAAAGATGCTGTGAGGCACAGGAAGGGCTTTGTATGAAGTGCCCTGGATCCTTCAGGTGAATGGGTTACTTCTCTAATCCGTACTTGTGGCTAATCCTGTCCTTGCTGCCATAGAACAATGGTGCTTACCTTCCTCAGACTATTGCTGAGAGGCTGTCTTTGGGTTAGTGAGTGCTATCTTTTGAGGCAGTAACYCACTCTTGCAATATTGTGAATGCTGTGTCCAATATGTTTTTGCAAACAAAAGTGATCCTCAGTCTATCAAAATAATAGTAAGTATGTCTTCTTCTAATTTGCCCTCTCTCAGCATAAATACTATGGAGGCATATTTTACTTAAGACCACTGCTGTTCAACCATTAGTAGTAGAGATGCAATCAGAAAGTGAAAGGGCATTGGATGGAACGATGAATTGTATTCAGTATACAGCACTGACTTGGATTKAGTTTGCTAGGTTTCTGTTGGAAAGATTGTAGGAGATTAGGGGCAACTGATAATGTAATTTGTCTTCCTACCTTATGGGCTGAGCTCTCTCAGTGAGAGGAAGTGGGAGGTGGCTTGGGGAGGCAAGGCGAGAGATGGATGACAAGAACCTGCACTGCAAACCACATCTATTTACCCACAGCTTATTTCTTTACGAAGAAACAGTGCTGGCCAGCAGGGAGAGTGGTTGCTAAGTTTCAGGACAGGTTTTCTGGGCTGTACTCAGGCAAGATGTGAAGCCACTGAGTTACTATCAGGATTACTCTATTCTTAGCATCCCAGCATGTGTTCAGGCCCCACATACCACTATCTAAATTTAGTCCCTACTRAAAGACAGATGCTGCCAAGTTGCATCTGACCCCCTCCTCTCTTGCATTCTGTTCCTGAAAGCTAGGTTGAATTCCTCAAGACAGGTCCAATAGTCAGCATGTCCTTTTGTCTGCCAAGGAAACTTGTACTGTACTATTAAAGTCTGATCTCAACCCTGGCCTTCCTGGCCWCTCCTAGCCCTGACCTTCCTTTTAACACCTTTTCTTATTCCTTTCCTCTTCATTTGTTGCCTTACCCTTTTCCCATTTTTATCTCAGCTGCCTCTGTCCTTTCCATTCTGTCTGATTGAACATAATCAGTGGGAGGAAGGAAAAATAATGAAAGAAAACGTGTGTGTATGTGCATGTACCTAGGTGCTGCAGACACCCAAACCTCTCTGACAAGAGCTCTTTTGTTGCTACAGAACTTCTGCTGAGAGGGCAGGGAGATGGACAATTTTCTGCGTGTGTTCCAGTTTTTCACACTGATTTGTATTTCCAGTAACAAAAATCCATAAGAYTCTGAAATTGGGATTTCCTAAATCCATCTGAAATCCGTTTCTCCCATGAGTTAAAGTATGCCATGGGGGAGTGTGTCCACTAAGGCATGGGATGGAAAGTGTAACAGTCAGTTACAAGAGACTCACWGAATTTATGGGGCCCCACACACAAAAGCAGAGGCCAGTCCTCACCAGTATGTGCTATAAGGTCGGCCAGTGCAATCCTCCAGGGCCAGGCTGGAGCTTGCCCTGACCACTTTAATATTACACTCTGCCAGTGCTGCTTCTCATTTGCACGAGAAAGCTCTCCAGATAAGTGTTACAGGGAGCAGAGAGGTTTTCTCTTTGAAATGCCACTTTTTCCAACTTTCCCCATCTCTTCAGAGCAGCTGTTGAATGACACTTTCCAACCTGTCTGCAGCTTAAACAGAAGCTCCCTTAGTGACACTTCATGTGACTCACTGTGTGCCCAGGAGAGGGCATCTTTTGGACACGAGGAGCAAGTGGCTGAGCCTGAGGGCAGCCTAACCTTCAGGATGGGCAGGGAGCCTGGATTTTGGACTGGGCAGCCRCCCTGGCCTGGGGCTTTAAAGGCTCAGTGCTTCCCTTGCTGTWCTCAAGACGTGCAGGCTATGGGTTGTCCTTAAAGTCTCTACAGCACAGAGCTGGCAGTCAGATAAAAACTGTCAGGCTTGTGTTGGTCTCTGTCCAGAGGCTCTGCAGCCGCCAGCACCCTGCACCCTGCTGTGGATTAGTCCTGTCCCATCCTTCTTTGCACAATCCTCTTCTCTGTTTAACCCCTTTGCCTTYCTCCCTGGCAAATGCAGTGGGGTAGGGGTTTGGCATAAAAATAAAACTACGGATAGTTCATTTCCCTCTGATCTCAGGAAGCAAATTCACAAACTTCCAGGGAGGATTTATATCTTGCGGGAGACTGAGCCAGAAACATGCCATTTTCAGACTCTATAGGTCTCTTCCTGCACCGGAAGAGACCTGCTCCTGTTTTCCCAGAAAGGAATAGAGGCATGCAAAAGTCCCTCCTGGATTATAGAGCACTGAAGTACCAAGAGTTACTTTAGTGTGTGGGCTTTATGTCACTCCGGTAAAATTTGAGCACAGACCAAGCCAGACCCCAGCATCCTCACAAACCATGAGAAAAATGCATTGCCTGCTCATGATTATTAGCCTGCATGGACTGCCTGCATCCCATCAGCTTTCTCTGATATAAAGGTACCAGCAGCAGCAGCAGGCAGTGTTGGGAGCACAGCCTGATCCTCTCTGCCTGGGAATCCCAAATGGTTGCCTGCAGAGACTTGCAGTACTGAGGGATAAGAGAATTGCAGAAAGCTTACTGTCGCTGCTCTGGCTGGTCACCAGCCTACATCCAATTGGTTTGAGTGAGCAGGGAGGAATACCATGGGATGTGAGGAATGCTCTGAACACCTGCTGACAGCCTTTAAGCCCCAGTCCCCTCGCTCCACAACTGGGAGAGATACTCAGCAAGTATGTTCCCATCCAGTACTAAGCACCAAGCACTTGGCAATGGAGCAGCAGTTGGTCTTTTGGGGAATTCCAGGAGAATCTCCTTTTAACCTCTTTTGAACTTCCTAACTCTTTTCATAGCTGCTATGTCAGTAGGCAGCACTGGAAGATATGTCTGCTATCTCTTCTCAGTTAACAGCTGCATCTGGAGGAAGCATCAGGAAGCAGCAKTTATACTGTAACAGCAGAAAAGTGGCTCTTCAGCAGTAGTTCATGACAGACCTACACATGAGAATTCCAGGCTTATATTAACAAGGAGAGAGATAAAGGGCTAAAATGACAGAGGCTGATGGATGTGGCAGCTGGGATGAGCCAGTCCCTATTTTAAGCATGCAGGCAAGATTTGGGGTCAAGTTGGAAAGGCTACAGAGTGATAGAAGTGCCAGTGAACTCAAAAACAACTTCAAGCATAGCCYTCTTTCCATCTTCTTTACCAACACCTCTCAGTCCTGCTGACAGGCTGACCTGGGAGGAGTGTTGCTCTTGTCTGCTCCATGCAGGCTGGCAGGGTCGAGCCCAGGGCACTTACACACCCCATGGGTGCAGAGGGCCTGGGCCCTGACACAAGCCAGCCATCCATGGGTCCTCTTTATGGCTCCAGCTCTCTCCTCTCCTGCTCCCGCAAGAACAATGACAGGACAGCAATCCTCCCACATCCACTCCTCTTTCCTGAAGCTGCCATGGGAATGTGGGCAAAGTAGCTTGTGGGATGTTATAGCTGAGTCTGGTGTCTTGAGCAGCAAGGCTGTGTGATATGGGAGAAGGTGTCCTGATGGGTATTACCCCTCTGCAGGGATCTGACAGTTTGTTCACTGCACCCTCTGTTAAACAGCTCTGCACTAATTTGTCTTCCACTTAACTGCAAGATCTGAAGAAATAGTCTAGAAGAATCTACAAATCTAGTGTAATAGTAACTTGGTCCTGACTTGCTCTGACCCAGTGTTTTTACCTGCCTATTCCTTTATGTGAAAATGAGTACATTATGAGTGCCAAACTGTCCTACAAGATTTTCCCTATTGCTTGCCTATATGGGAGAGGTGTGTGGGTTTTGGCTGAGTGGGCATTTGGTTTGCTTGCTTGCTTGCCCTAGCAGAARGGCTAGGCTGGGCTGTTAAGAAGTTTAACTGATGGACGATGGAATGAAAGGGAGAGGAAACACTTAATGCAAGATGGCCATGAGAGGCTGGATCTAGGAGCTAGCCTGGAACTAGAAACTCTGACTCCATTCTCAGATATAGCAATGCATATCCTGCACAGCTCCTGTTAAGGCTAAAGATTTATTCCAAGTTCACTCTTGTGTAACAGGACACCATATGGCCTGATGCACATGTCTAGAAATACACTGACCAAAGCCACTGGAGCAGGAATGCTTGACAACAGAATGTGCCTTGGAACCACCACCTCTCCCCAGCGTCAGCTTCCCTGAGGATGGTACTTGCAGAGGCTCTGCATGAGTCAGGGACCATACCAAGGAAGTACAGTAGGGGCATGCAGAAGGACACATGGTCATGTACAGGCATAGTCTGTTCCCTCTCTGAAATACAGACTCCTTAAGCAACTTAGCAGACAGGGAACAAGAGAAGAAGAACATGTAGATATTCTTGAGTCTTTCATCTGCACTAAAGAACTTGAACTGGGCTGGTGATTAGCTCAGGCCTATGCACAGCAGAGCAGTTCTTGGAATTAGCAGGAATACATTGACCAAAAGGCACAGCCAGGGCTTATCGAAGAGGATTAATGTTCCACCCTGGCAGCACAGTAGTCTTAGACCTTACTTTATTCTGTGAGAAATGGAGCAATAGGAGGGCCAGCAAGAGACAAGCAACTGAACTAAACAGCTGCAGTTCTTTCCCTTCATCCCTATCCTCTCTCCTGCTTTTCCAGATTCGAAAGAGAAGCAAAGCATGCCGCGGAGGCCTGTGGGAAAATGATGTTCTAGTGTCTATCAATGGGAAGTCATGTGCTGGCCTGTCCCACGCTAATGCCATGCAGATCATCGATTCCTCCAACGGCATGCTCAACATCCGAGTGAAAAGGTAACCTGCTCCCAAGTGCCAGTGCTGTGCCAGTGCACACAGTAGCGTGGTTTAATCCAGCACAGCAGCTATCCACATCCACCAGAAAGGAGGCAGGAAGGAAGCCTTTGGTTTCACCATACTGCAGGGTGTAGTAGGAGCACTTACTCATGACCTAAGATGGCTAACATGTGGCCATCTCAATGTTTTGCCCTGTGTCTGTGCTGGCYCTGGGGCTGAACTGAGCCCAGACATCCCTGTCCCTCCAGCTGAAGGGAAATGTTTGAAGTATGAAGGCTATGCTGCAAAGAATGAGCTRTTTAGTAACCAAGAAAGCCATGGGGCCAGTTCAGCTCAGCAAGTAACAAGACACTTGGGTTCATTTTGCGTAAGTAACTGTTYTGTAGAAACTGATTTGACTACATAGTGAATAGTTAAGACAAGATTACCCAAGTATTTATTACAGTGGGCTGTTGTAGTCCTGCAGTCTGTACTGACTTCTAAGATTAGAGGTGTGTGGCTGAGCCCCCTTTTTATGGGAAGAAATATCTGCACCAGTCTCTCGTTCAGGAGAATATTGGAGATTAGGCTCAAATCTAAAGACAAAAAATAGTCYCAGTAATGTTCCTCATCCTCCCTGTGCTAAGTTAACCCAGTGCGTCAGTGCATGCTGGATGCAGCCCAGGCTATAAATGAATAATCCTATAAAGATGAAGGCAGCAAAGCTGTGTGAGGTCCCAGCTAGTCCACATTACTGCCTAAACAGAAATCACCCTCAAAAAATCAGGCCCTGGTGAAAAGGACTGGGAGATGTGATTTTCTGCAGTTCTGAAAGGATAGAGAGAGCACTGTGAGCAGTGGGGAGGGACAGCCACACTGGTTGTCATCTGTAAAGCAGGAGCAGAGGTGGGCAGTGCTCAGAGAAGGAAAGCCTGAACATGTAGGATCTTCASAGAAATGTCGGTGCCTTCTGATGTGCTCACTCTATACCCTAGCTGTGATTAAGTGGGATGAGTAAGTTCTATACAGGGTCCAGAACAGCTCCTGGACCTTTGCCAAGGTCTTATCTCACACCATTGGAGCCTATCTGCAGCCAACAGGTGCCAGGGCAAATTCTAATGGGTCAAAATCAGCACACTTTGAATTAACAAAATGAAAAAGACAGACTTCTCGCAGCCCTCTAGGACCCAACACTGGATGGTTTGGAAATAACAAAATGAACTTGGCTTCATTTTGAATACTGAAGAAATCATCAAATCCTGCTTTCTTGATCACATGTCTATTACCACTTCATATTTACATTTCCAGAGAAAACACCAATCATTCCTGGCCAGAAAGGGGAGGTAGCTGGAGATYCTGGAGTATGTATTTCAGAAAAAGAGGAAGGGAGAGACACTGACAGTGCAGAACAAGAGAAACTGGTTTACAAGTAGTTGTGCTTTTCAGTTACCTGGTTGGGTTTTTAAAGGAGAGGAGGGACTGTTCTGTTTTTCATCCTTCCAGATGTCTTAGAGGCTTGAAGCTGCTACGTCTAAGCCAAAGGCAAATGCCACCATGGATTGAGCTGGCCAGCATGACTGCACATGGTTTTCAAAACCCAGGCAYTTGTAGATAGCTTGTAAAGCAGTTCCACTTAACACTACAGTGTTATCTATCCTACCATCGTATACTAGAGTGCTATCCCAAAAACCACTTGGGCCTTTATATCCTAGTACTTGCTGTTTACTCTCAAGTAGAGATCAAGGCCAACGAATATCACTGACTTCTTCAGAGCTCAGTCTGAACTAAAGCAGTTTGGGGGTGCCAGGATGTGCAGAGCTGACACAGCTCCACGGTGCAGTCTCAGCTGCAGGAGCAGCTGGAGTGCAGTGTGATAGCTCAGCACCAGCTGTTCTCTGCTGACAGCCCACTGCCTGAGGGGTAGGTCTCACTGTCCTGGGGAATGCTTGCTATGCAGGAATTCATCTCTCCAGGAGAAATGCTTGAGGAGCTGATTAAGCTCAATAGATTTTTTATGGTCTTAGGGCATTCTGATTTTTGAGTGTTTAACACCTGGTTTCCATAGAGTTGTGAAGCAGAAAATGAGAATGAGCATGTGTAGCTGATGTAGAGATGAGTCTGTCCTTGGTGTCTACACTTCAGCTGTCTGTACTGCCTGAAGGACATCTGTAACACCATCTCAATCTACAGCCCTCTCTCAGGTCAGGGTTTCCTTCCAGTTTAGTCACACAAACCAAACCTCACTCACCCCTTTTCCTTCTCCCCACAGGATAGTTGGTGGGGACCAGACTGGCCCATGGCTCCAGCGTTCCCCTTCTCCAGGGCAGCGAGTGCTCTCTCCACCATCCCTGCTCAGCCCTCCRGCACAGATGCTCAGCTCTGAACCAGCAGGAGCCCCAGCCACCGCACAGCCCTCACAGCCACGGAGGTCACAGAGGCACTTGGAGAGCCTTACGTCCCCACCAGACAGTGAGGCCTACTATGGTGAGACAGACAGTGATGCTGACAACGTGGCGCATGAGAAACACCGCCGAGCTCGCAAGAAGAGCCCGCGGTCCCCACCTGACAGCAGGGCGGATGCACCCCAGGACGAGGTGTCCCTGTCTGAACAGAGTGGCTATGAGAGCATGCCTGAGGCTGCTGTGCAGGGAGGAGCAGAGCTGGCCAGCTCCAGCGGGGTGGCCAAGAGGGAGATTGTCTGCCTGCCTGGCAGTCGCACAGAGACTCCATTCTCAGACAGCGAGGGACAGCTGCGGCCACCGTCAGCAGAGGGACGGGAGCCTTCTCCAGAGGCGATGCTCCTGCCCCATTCCACCAAGGCTATCCAAGGCCAGCTCATCCCCATGGTGGGGCCAGTGGAACATCCCATTGATGAAGACCTAACCACCACATATGCAGAGAAAGCCAAGCAGGCCAGTAAGTCCTCTAAACTGCCCTTCACCCATGCCTTTTTCTTGTGCTGGAACTCCTTCCAAAAGCCTGATTCCTGCAAATGTCAGGTGGGTTAACTCCACTGGCTTGCAAAGGATCAGAGTCTCATCAGAYCTGCAGAGACTGAGGCTTCCTCCCACAGCTTTGGCACTGAGGTCTACCTCACCTAAGACATCTCAAGAACAGATAAGAGAAAGGCTCTGGGGTCTGGGGTCTGTGAGTCACTCATAGAGGCTGCAGCCATATAACCAGCTATGCTCTAGCACCTCTGTGTGCTGGAAAAAGGATGGAGGTCATTGGTTTCTTCAACACTTTGCGCTAAGAAGGCTCAGGTGACATGATGGTGTCAGGAAAGAACTTGGAGGTTAAATTTCTCTAGCTTTCTAGAGATCTTACGGAAGCTCAGTTTGTTTCTTAGCTACCTGTGTGTCAAGCACAGGACACTTCATTTCAAGAGGTTCCAAGGAGTCCTCTGTTCAGTTCAGCTCTTCATGGGCACAGAGGCCTGCAGTATTACACAGTTAAGGATTGATGAGAGAGAATTTGCAGACAGCATAGCTGTAAAAGTCTTGTCAGTAACTGATTTATTTCTCTCACCCTGTCCAGCTCAGGAAGGGACTCTTCTACATCAACTTTCCCTGCAGGCACTCACTCCAGCAAGGGTGCTCATGACTGGCAGTAGCTGGTGAGTTCAGGTAGAATTTATAACTTTTTAGGTGTTGGCAGTGGATAGTTGCCAGCAAAGACAAGCAGGRGCTGGTAAATCAGCTCTTGAAACAGTTCCTTGTAGTGCAATCCCTGATAGTCAAGACCTTTCCACACGGAGTAAAGCTCTGAAAAATGTAGTGTCATGTATGGGGGATGGACCTGAAGTGACCTTAATTGTGAATATCTTTCCTGGTTTCTGCTACACAGAGTATTTCAAACCCAAACATGAAGGCAGAACAAGATGTTATCTGATTTCACACTTGTGACCTATCTAGTAACACTAAAAACAAGGTAATCATCGACTTTCTTTCATATATGTACCTCAGTGTGTAGAAGGAYAGACTAAGTCACACTTCTCTGAGCCTAGAAATAAAGCAGGTTTTAAAAAAGTGATTTAAGTGAGGGACAGAATGAGAAACACAGACACAGAAAAGTTACTCGACCAAATCAGAAAGAAACCATGTGCATTCCAACTTCTGATCCTCTGCTTCAAATGCTGGACTTTTACCCAGGCCAGATAATACTGCAAGGCAACTATTAAACTTCTCTTTTCTCTTTCCCTTGGGCTAAATATTTTTTATCTATTCTGCCTAAGGAGTGCTATAGAGGTAACTTTCAAATCTAGGCACTTCCATCAGACACAGCACTGTGCTGCTCTTTCCAGAGTTAAGAGGAGAAGTCCAGTTGGGTCCCTTATGTCTGGCTCTGCTGGGCAGTGCACCTGACCTGATGCCTTGTACTACTTCCCAGTCTTAAGCACTCATTTTCCTTAGGACAGGAAAGAAATCAGCAATTTCAGCCTCGCTGAAGATGAAGCTATTTTTTCCCCTTTGAATAATGTACAAGCATGAGGTGAATGTTGAGAAAGGCATGTTCAGCTGCTCCCTGCTACCTGATAGTCCTAGCAGTGGAAGAGCAATTGCTTTACATCAAGACTTATTTCCATGGACAGCATCAGTACAGAGGGATCTCAGGATAGCTATGTATTTAATTCAAAGCATTTCTGATGGCAAAGTAATACCCCATGGCAGGAGGTGATGCAATAATATTGCCAGCTACAGTTAGGGTTCCCTGAAGCACTGCAGACTGAGGTAATATTTTATTCTCTTACTACTCCTTCACTGCTCACCCTCTTTTTGGTTTATGTTTGGCCATGGGCATCCTTATGTAGGAGTTACTCGGCCACAGATGGTAATTCATATGGTCTTTTCTTGGGTTAGAGATCCTGTCAATAAATGAGAAGACAAAACTACACCCTGATCATGCTGGAGCACAGCAGCAATTAAAACAGAAGTCAAGTTCAGCAGCCAGTGACTCTATGGAGGAAGGAAGCAAGTAAGGAAGAAGGATGGAAGGTGTTCTTTATGTGGTGAACAGAACTATGGAACACCTATTCCTGGAATAAACACCATTATGAATGCAGGAGGATGTGGGACTGCTGAGGTGCACTGCAGAGAGGTTATGGGCTGGCACGGGAGGCACGTGGTAGAGAATCTCTTGCCGGAAAGATGCAGCCTTGGTGAGGATGTTTGGGCTAACATTGCCCCAGCTCCTATAGCTGCACTACGCTCCAATGGAGACAGCAGCATTTAAAGCTCTGTTCCTCTGCCTTTCCTTAGCAATATCCACAGCAGAGTAGGCCACTCTGGGACATGGACACTCCTGGGTTTTGCTAAACAGGAATGCAAAATCATGGTTTAGAAGTCAGGCAAGGTTTTAAAACCTGAGGTGGCTCCAGTAAGTGACTTGGACGATTCCCTCACCATTTTTCCTAGTTGTACCAGGATGGGCAGTCAGTCTTTATACTCTGATTGTTACTGGCAAATTTTCTCTTAATTTTCATCTGATGAACATTTCTCCAGTATATGTATTTTTTTTTTGCTCCACCAACTCCTGGAAAGTGCAACTGCTTTCCCTGCCTTTGCTTAGAGGATACAAATCACGTGGTAGTTGCTGGAAGTGACACTGCTGTTTGACACCTGCTTTGCATCGCAGTAACAGGGAGCAAATGGAGCTCCCTTATTTACACTAAGCAAGGCTTTGACTCCAGGAGCAGAACACAGTGTGGTGGCAAGTACCAACAACCCAAGATCAGGACTTGGCAGCAGTGGGGTGGAGCAAAATAGGCACAGGAAAATGGGCAGCAGCTGATGGTGCCACCTAATGATGCCCTGCATGTCATCAGCTGCCGAGATGTGCTTTTTCTTCCTTAGCAAAGATACAAGGCCTTAGAGCTCCTTAGAGAGCCAAGAGCCYCTGCAGTGAGGTTTGGGCCTCTCTCCTTCCAAAATTCATGCTCTATTTGCACATTGGTATTGGCTCATTTTTTTCAACCTGTGGGAGAAGCATGTACGTCATCCCATCTCTCCACAGCACACATGACTTGGACATGCCTGCTCAAAACCCACGCAGAGCATTACTGGTGCAGACTGCTGGAGTRCTGTGGGGAGCCACACATCACCCAATGCAGAGGAACTTGCCCTACAAGTAAAAAGACGTCCATCTGCATCATTACTCAGGGCATCCTGGTGTTTTGCTCAGTGGGGTAAGAACAGCCAGCAAACAGGAACTCTGCTGTGTTTTAAATAAACTATCGAACAGTCATGCCAACAGCCAATATTTTGCCTAATCTGTAGAAACAACAATATGAATTTGTTTCCTTCCCACTAAAAATGTAACTTGCTCTTTTTAGAGAGTTGATTAATCCCTGAAAAAACTGGGGATCATTAGGCCTTCAGTTTGTCATCATTGTAAAGGACCAAATGAAGTCCCTTCCTGAGATTATTTATGTGGCACTTAGACAGTGCAAAAGAAAAGGAAGAGATAACAAGAAGAAAATACACATTAAAAAATCGGAATCAGTTTCAGAAAGTTAACAGAAAGTGGGAGCTTGTGGCAGGGAGAATCAGACTGTAGTTGTCACAAGTAATCACAAGTGAGGTTTTTTGATTCCTCATAGGTCCTGCAGTGTCTTTCTCACCCCACCTTCAGAGGTTTGGGATCCATCTGTAGACAGGGTTGTTTCTTCTCAGCCACCTGTGGTCTCTGAGGTGCCCTGTATTTTCACTCSCATCCAAAATCATCTCACAGGACAAAGGGCTCCTCAGCCTTTCTCACAATTAGAATTACAAATTGTTAGCAGAGGATAGRCATACCAGGAGAGCAGTCTATTCCTAACTTTCTATCACACAGTGTCAGTGCAAGAAGTGCTTCAAAATATCTCAATTTAAACTTATCTGCTGGACTATTTTTAGTTCTTAGGATTCAAGAGCTTTTCCATGTATGGTAGAGGAAGGGAGGGAAAACTGGGTGGGGAAATTTCCTCCTCTGCTTTATAAGGGCCTGGCTGCCTGTGCAGAGTCATCAAAGTTACTACATTCCATATCAGAAAAGGAAATCCTTCTTGTTTAAAGCGGATGTACAGCAGCATCACTTGAAAAGATAGGATGCTTATAAATAAGTGGCCTATTCATCAGCGGGTCATAGAGATTACCTCTCCTAAGAGTGACTGCAGTCACATTTCTCTGCAGAGGGGGTGAGTGCAGCAAGCCATCTCCCAGCCTGTTACAGCTGGTATAGGCCACAGGAGCTGTGAACAAGATGAAGTACTTGAATGGCAATTTGAACTTATTGTGCCACATTTTCTACCTGGCTTTCAGCTTTGACAATTATATCTCTAATGATCACAGTTATGTGACTGTTAAACTAATTTACTGTTTTGTCATTCACTGCAGTCTAGGAGACCAAAAGATGTAGCATAATAGTCTACCACTACTACATCCTACATGCCTTAAAGTAAAATAAAAAAGCATTCTGCTCAGACCAGGAGATTAAAATTAATTGCCTGAACCATTGATCTTACAGGAAGTCTGTTCCTAGCAATGTGAAGCAATGCTGAATCACCCTTGGCCCTTGCTACTCAGTGAGCAGCCAGCCACTAGGAAAACAGGGACAACAGCTTCCATGGTTGAATCACAGATGAAGAGTATGATCTCACATCAGCATGCATCAAACTGGAAATTGTGTCCACTTGGGAAATCAGTTACATACACTGCTGTAGCAGTCTGGTTGTATGTTTTTAAGAATACCCCATGTCATAACTAACACTCAGCTTTGAATTTGCTGGCACTTGGAGGGTATTTATCAAAGACTACAGTGAGATGAACACTGGGTATCTAGAGCCCTCTTTCTCTACCTTTAGGCTTGCATATGAGCAGAAGTGATATTTTCAGGCTAATATATTAACTGGGCAGAAGACAGAGACTATAAACTACTGT